GTGTTAACTTCCATAACCTGCCTTTCTAGTGCAAACAAAACACAAGTCTTTACCCCAGGACGTGAAAGATTTTAACCCAACACTACCAGCTAACGGCACTTGGCTCCTGGCTCTGCTAGATGCTAGAGTGGAGTCAGTTAGCACACTTCTGATTAAGAGGTGTCACATGGGACTACAAGTGTAAGTTACAGACACGTCCACGAAGAACTTGTATGCATGAATGGCATCAGGGATAACCTAGGGCACACACCTCATTCCTCAGTGCACGTATTCAGTTGTGTATCCAATGAGATACAGATGTACTAGGTAGGTTTGGATTCTGGCCAATAAATCTCTTGTGCAGAAATTCATCTCTTGGGTGCCTGGGGACTCCACCAGCAAACTTTGGTCTCTTGCAATACAACATTTACTAGTGTTGCACTGGATTTTTCTTTAGATACCCAGCTATCCACTGCAGGCAACAGAGACTGGCCTGCCTATTGCCTGAAAAGGCCTCCTGCAGACTAATCTGTTTTGCATGGCCTGCACTGCGTGAGAAGAGAATACAGCAAGCGTGCGCTGTCATGCCATAATTTCTGATTGACACAGTAAGGCCAAGACATGAGAATAATAATAATCCTGGGCACTTCTACTGTGTGATGGGCTCAAAGCACTTTACCATTATTAACCAATTAGTCCTCAAAGGTCAGCACTCACCCAATATTATGGGCAGGTAAGTGAAGCACTTAACTCCAATAGAGCCAATGGGATGTATCTGCTTAGGTGATGTTGAAATTCTGGCCCTTTGCATCTGTGTGCATTAGATCCTCCATATGGAGCAAAGGGGCTGATAGCACCTCTTCCCTCCCAGGGGCATGCACTGTAAGGCTCTACAACAGGATACATTAATGGGAAACCTATAAGTACTTCTGGGTAGAAGGGTGCTAAAGATAGTTGAGTACTGGGTGGCACCACCTGCCTAAAGCCAGCACAAAACAGAGAAAGCTGTCTGAGAGCCAAATAAAGCCCTTAAACAGGGACAGGAAATCCCAGCCATCACATCTGCAAAGGAAGCGCAGAGACTTCTCCCCGCTATGGCTTAGGGCTGGTGCCCCAGGACCCTTTCCTCTCAGGAAGTGAAAAGAAAGACATTTATCTCCTTGTGCTCTTCTCCCGCTGCTCAGGTGCCCTACATCCCAGCCACACACCAGACTCAGCTTAGCTCCACGATACAGAAACCCAAAACTCAGGCTCCCGCCTATCCTTGCAAGGGGGCCAAGACAACACTGGAACATGGCCCAGTCCTTCCTGCCCTGAATCGTGCTGCGGTGGGAGCCAGTGAGGAACAGGGCTTCACTGCAAAAGCTGCGCATCTGCAGCACCCTCCCCTCCCTTCATTCGCTGCAGCCACACGCAGCAGAATCACATGGAGGGAGTGCTACAATTTGTTCATGAGCACTCGCTTGCAGACAGGCATCAAGTCAGGGATAACAGTTGGAGTCAGCAGAGATGTTCACTTTTGCAGTGACCTACTTAAGAGCAGAATCTAACCTGAGGCAGCTTCCTTTGCTGAAAGCATCTTCAGCAATGAATCTTAGAGAGCCATAGAGCAGCAGACCTCAGGCGAAAGCCAAGTGTGACTGCACAGGACTTGCCGACATGGGGAAAGTGGCCAGTATAACCCTCCACTCCTCCAGTTATTCCGAGTGCAGACACGCTTATTCTGGAATACAGCTGCTTTTTGCTGGTTTAGCTTACGCCAAAATTGTCTATTCTGGAATAGGAGCATCCCTATGGGAAGCTATTCGGCAATCGTTACAGCACTTTAAATTCACACCTCCTTTATAGTAGAATACCCTTGTCCATCATATAGGAAGTCCTTATTGAGTTCAAGACTTTGGAGTTCCTGGCCTTTGTGGTCATTGTCTGACAGTGATTTAAAGTATTGCTTATTGAAGTACAGGAGGAAAAAGCTCATTAACTGATTCCTGTTTTGATGGCAGTAGAGTAGCTCCCATCGAGCCAGTTATTTTGATCCCTAATAGCAGCTTGGGTCAGCAAGTGCTGTTAGACGGCTGGCTTCTCATAGCTATTTCAGACACCTTACTTCATTTCATGCTTATGTCAGACCAGATCCTGCTGTCACTTTTACGTGGGTAGATCCAGAGCAACTTCACTGCCTTCTGTAGAAATGTTTGCACTTGTAAGATTTGAAACAGGACTCAACTCACAGCACAATCCTGCTTGCATCTCGTGGTGGAATCTGTTGTTCCAGTGCATGCTGCATGGCGTAGACACATGTGCTTACACAGTCCCATCCTCTCCTCATGCCTTTGTGATGCTGTTGCACTCTCCTGCTCACACACACGAACACAGAAAGTCTGTGATACAAATATGGGGGGACACTTCTGGTAGAATAAAATCGACACCGTATTCTGACAGAGGCGGTTACCTGAACCGCAGCAGTGGCGCTCCAATTGCTGAGACATTGCCCAACATTCATCATGCCCTTGTCTCTGTATGGCGGGTCACACATTGCGCGCTCCATTCAGTGGGGACCTGTTGGCATGATGACGGGTGGGAAGAGGCAGAAGCCCAGCTCTCTGAGCATACCCCCAGTGGAGCACTTGACATTTTGTTTGTGAGTGAATCTCCAAAGAAGCGCATTGGAAAGTGAGTGTTCAGAAGCACGGACTCTAGGTAATAAAGGTAATAGCGACTCATATGAGTAATATGAGGAATAGCAAACAGAAAAAAGAAAATACGAGTAATATGAGGAATAGCAAAAAGAAGATATAAGTAATATGAGTAATAGCATCTGGTGCTCTTCCCATTCAAAACCTTTTACAAGCATGACTCCTCACAACACCCCTGCAAAAAAAGAAAGTATTACCCTCTCCATTTGACAGATGGGAAAGCTGAAGTCCAGAGCCATGGGGAGCGCATATTCAACTCAACCTAGCCTAGCACTTGGGGGGGAGAGGGGGGGTCATGTCACGTAAGACCAAGAGAAACGACTTTCCTTAAAGGAACAGTGGTTTTTAGTGCATCCAGGTAGCTCAGCCTCTGACGCGCCCCACTCAATACCTTCCACTCGGCTTGCGTGCCAAAAAATGCTGTGTAAGCACTTGTGGCACAGGCCAAGGAACGCCTCCAGGGTTCCAGCTCCGGCGTGCTCCCCAGGGTGGCGCCGCATGTGCTTGGCACCGCTCTGACAGTGTGCAAGGCTGGGAGCGAGTGGGCAGGGCTTGCTCCTTGGCGCCAGTCTCGGGATCCTATGGAGACGGGTGAGCGAACCTTGTGTAACTCGAATATGGGGTGCCAAAAAACCAAAAAGGCTAATGGATGCCACTGATTTCCATCTTCCTGAACGAGAAAGCAAAAAGGAGGAAAGGAAGAAAGCCAGCTGGTTTTTTAAAATGATTGGGTCACCTCAATGGCCAGGAAGGTAGTGGAGGGTGAAGGAATATGTCTGTTTCCACGGGACACAACGTTGATTGGGGTCGGGACTTGGTGAGGGGCAGAGCGCGGTGACACCACACCTTTGCTCAAAGGAGACCAGCTGCCCAGTTTTCCTGCTGGATCTGCTGCCTTGCTTTGGCAGAGCACATCTGACAGCAGAACTGGGGCAGAAGCCTTGGTGACGTTCGCAGCCGAACAAACTCCCCACAGATGTACAGAGAGGAGCGAGCTTGCCGTCCTGCTTGTTCTGGACAGAGATGAGTCTGTGTTTATGGACCTGCTTCGGCGGAGGGTTGTGCACCTGCAGCTTCTTGTGCTTTGCACCGTGGTTTCTTTCCCTCTCGTCCTGACAGCGGGGGGGACTTGCCTCCTAGGAACAGGCCCAGCAGGCATCATGCCCCATGTGCAGATCTTTCGTGAGCAGGACTCTGTCATCCTGAGCCCACTTTTTTCCACAGGGACTTTCTCTAGACCCCAAGGACGCATGTGAAGAGAGACATGTGCATCAGCCTCACCTGAATACCAGCAGCAAACCCACCCTGAACCGGGCAGTGGTGGCTGTGTTCACTTCTCATTCCCATGCCAGGACGGAGCAAGGCTCCACTGCTCTCCCGTTGGCAGGGAGTGGGGAAACGGCCCCGGCGTCTGGGGAGTGGCACTGGGCCCATGCAGACGCTTGGGCAGATCCCAGGAGTCTGGGGTTCTCCCTGCTCTACCACAGGGCGCATCGCTGCCTCCTCCTCATTCCCAGCTTGGACTCCCTGGGAGGCAGCCCACAGAGGAGGCCTCCTGGCATTTCCTCTCCCCCAGAACCCTTTTCTGCAGGCTTCCCAGACTGGGGTGGGGAAATCCATCTCTCACCAAGGGATTTATGAATTTCTTCTCAACCAGCACCAATTTTATGTCTCTGGAAGATGCATAATGCTTTCTGACTTTATTTAAACACAGTGGATTTAACCAGAGAGCTGTATATTTTTAAGATCCATTTAGAAACCGTCCCCCACTTTTTCTTTAATTCCCAGCCCCCGCAAGGAGGCACTTATCCAGAGCCTTTGTGTGAGGGCAACGCACATCTATATTGAACACCAAGTATATTGAACACGGGTACCTCTATCTATTGAGATGATATGGCATGGCACTAGGAAGACAGCTTCTGCACAATCACCCTGTACTTCCTGATGGTGAAGAGAAGCAGCCGTATCTTCCAGAGAGGCCAAAAGATATTTCTAGCTGTTAAAGCAATAGTTGAAAAATCAAGAGTCATTTATACTTCTTGGATAACAGATAGTCTCTAAAACAACGGATAGATTTCTGGTGTGGATTCATTTCTAATTGCAATTGAAAAGAACAGGTAAAGCGGGCATAGAAAATCCCATCCCAAATTGAAATTCTAGCCTGCTTCACTTCTTCCTCTCACCCATTTCTTCTGGTAATAGCACATCTACATTTGTACATGGTTTTAGATTGATGTTGTAACATCCTGAACACAGTGAATTAAATCAGATCCAATATTTGCAAGTCTGAAATGCTTCTTGTAGGAAATGAAAACATAAAATATATGCAATTTTCCCCTGGCAGTTTATTATGGTATGAAGAAAAAAAAAAACATTCTGTGCTTGAAGCTGACGTTATATTACAAATGTTTTGCGAAGTATGACGTGACTATTAAAATATGATTACACAAAGTATGAACATTTTAAGAAGTTTACAGTACAGTGAATCTTTTATAAACAGACTCTTAAATATACATAGGACAATAGGAGCTGACAGAAAACATCAAAAATTAACTATTAATGTTTATAGACTTTTCCCCTGAAAAAAAGTCGCACATCAAAACAGAAATTATGAAAAGCCTTAAAACCAGGAACAAAAATCACCTGTACACTACAAATATCCATGGCAGAGGTGTGCAAACCAGAGCTATCTTTTCATTATATGATACAGTCACAAGGGAACTCTGCAATCCCTGGATAGGATTTGCTCTTCAGGTGTAGCTCATTTCACACAGGGTAAGTCCTCAATGAGTTTGCAATCAAGTGTTACAAACTCTGTGTCAGAAGTTGTAACATCACAAGCATCTACTCAGTGCAAGACAATTTATGTATTTAATGTCCTAATCAATGTATAGGAGTGTATCCTGACTGACAACTCTGCTGGGAACCTGCAAATGGATCTGTCAGCAGATCGCTATGCATGCGTGGATCCCTGCTGGGATCTTCCAGTAAGGATTATTTCAGGAGTGGAGTTATGAATGAGTTGAGGTTTTTTTTTTGTTTTTAATGCAACTCTTCAATTTTGTTTTCTGGTAGGGGAGATAAATGACTACATTTGCTTCCTGTTTAGCCAGTTTGCCTGGACACCCCTAGTTCATGTGTTAAGTTATGTCAAAAACATAAGTATTTTATGCTGTAATACACAGTATTACTGAAACTAACAATGTTATTTGCATATTTATAACAAGGTATAATGAAATTCCTATAACAAAACAAAAAAATTATGCTATAGATTTATTTACAAACAGTCCAGCAAAGAAGTATAAATACTTCTATATTTAAGGTTTAGGAAAACATAATTTACAAAATATTCAAATATATACAGTCATCTGAAAAACTGCCAATATTAACCTTTGATGCAAGCAAAGAATTGGCCGAGTTCAGTCATCGTGTACTGAAAGAGGCGGCGGCTTTTGCAGATTTGCTTCTGTGCTGAAAAGTCACGCTCCTGTTATGTACAAAGCAGTCTGCTGTCCTCTGAGTTAAACGTGTCCGGAGCTTTGCGCATGCTGTCCCAAAATGTCGTCTATCATTGTCAAATTGTGCAACCACTCTTCGTCGTTGCTACTGCTGCTGTTCTTCATGAGAGAGTCAATGAAGTCAGTATCGCTGCAGTTGCCAGGCAAGATCGAATTACTTTGCTGTGGCACAAAGTCATAGTGGGGCAGCTCAGAAGCGGTGCTCATTCTGTTGAACGTTCCAGCCGGCTGGCCGGCGGCGGAGTAACTTGGCAGCCCAAGTCCTTGAGCAGGGTTGAGCTGGTTAAAACTGGACACGCCTTGTGGCATCGATTTCATAACATTCATGGCTGGCAATGGTCCTCTGGTTAAATTGTGTCTTAAGTTCTGATTATTCATTGGGCTCAGGCTCTGGCCAGACTGCCCCAAGGTTAGTTTTTGCATCTGTCTGACCTGGACTCCAGGAGCAATCTGATTAGGCGGCACGACAGCCTGGTGGGAAAACTGTTGGCCTGGTAAATTTGGTCTCACGTTTTGTTTGGAGAAGAGGGGGTTACTGGAGAACTGCTGCATGCTGGTATCCATCTGGCTTTGGTTTGGCATTCGTGGGACCCCAGTCGACGTCCACATCTGGGCAGATGAGGTTGGGTAGACATTAGGAATTCTTGGCATACTCGGCTGCCTTAAGTGTTGTTGAGTTGCAGAGGGGTTCGCCAAGGAACTGGAGCTGAAGACTGGCATTGTCATTCCTGGCTGGACTGCAGCGTGGCTGTGAACTGTTTGGCATCCGGAGTTCATACCCAGCGAGTTTTGGCTTGGTCGCAGTGGGAGGTTAAAGTCTGAACTGGGGGGGAAAATCCCCTGCTGTTTGTTAGCGTTGTGTGGAATCATTACCATGGTCCCGCTGTTCTGGCCGGCGGTGGCTGGAGTGATTCCAGAGCCCAAGGTGTTCTGGAGCATCCCTGGGTTGGATGGCATCATGCGGTGGTTTGGTGGGGGATTTGGCATGGACTGACTGCAGTCGGTGGGTATTGGCTGCTGTACTGCTGTATGTAAAGAGATACGTTAAGCATTAAATACACATTCATTCCTGAAACGTGGCAGGTTCTTAATAGGCTGCTTCTCCTTAATATATCTCTTTCATTACACAGGCCTCTCCGCAACATTCCTTCTAACAGAGTTACTACTAAATGGGCGAATCCCATATTATGCCATAAAACATGGGATGCTTTTATTTCAGCACAAAGAATTGTTAAGAGCCCCATATTTATTCAGAGTCAGAGAGCCCCAGAAGCCTGCACTTTTCAACTGCGAGCCCTTTCCGCCTTACCTTGAAACTGGTTCACCTGCTGGGCCACAAACGAGCTCCTCTGCTCAGACGTTACTGCCAGCATGTTTTGTCTCTGCTTCTCCTGGAAAACAAGAGAACTGACAGTCAAGAGGCAGCCTCTTGAGGAACAAAAAGTAACAGCAGGCCCTTAAGTGTGGCTGCTATCAAATCTAATGACCTATTTGGCGCGCGCGCACACACACACGCAAACCCAGATTCTTTATTCTCAGACTAGACACTTCAGCTGAGTCTGGGACTTAACGGTGTCTTCAGAAGTGTCCTCTAAACACACCAAGCGAGGGCAGCCTCAGCACACGCGGGATGGGAAGCTCCATGTTTGGGATGACATTGGACCCCTGTGCTTTCTCTGCTCTAGGAGAAGCCCAAGCCATTTTGGGTGTTTCTACTCCCAGCCTCCTCCCTTTGTTTCTTTATAGTAGGGGCCTGATCTAAAGCTCGCTAGAGCCAATGGGCAATCTTTCCTTCACCCAGAGCGGGCTTTGGTTTGGTCTTCACCTGCTGCAGGAATCTTTCGGCCATCTCTGAACTCGTCCTGCTGGGGGTCCTGGCATTTCCTCCGACACACCTAGCATGGCACCTGCTGCGTTTCTAACCGTGTCTCCTGGCTGGTTAATCTCCGCCTCCCCCATTTTCAGCAGGACCCCACAACATCCCACTTCTCACCTACACTGAAAGGGCTCCGTAGCCACAGCGTACCCTACCTGCAGCAGCTGTCGTCTCATGATTTGTTGCTTCAGTAAATGGTTCCTCATCGTATATCCATTCACTGTGGCTGCCGCGGGCACTGAGCCTGCAGCTGGTATAGTGCCTGGCTCCTGAAGTCTGGCAACAATGCCTGGGTTTTGATCCTGCCAAGAAAGATAAAATAAAGAAGAAGTCAATTCCCCCAGGGAGATAACAACAGAAGCCATTATCACATTCATCAGGGCCTCTTCCCCACTCCAGTTTCTATCCCATCTTGAACCACTTGCTGGCTTAGGTGCCTGCAACACAAAACGGCACGTGTCATGACTCTTGGAGCAGCAGAGCACTTGGACATTAGGGTATATCAATATGGGAGGAACTCAGAGGAGCAAAGGCTAATTCAAAATCCTTTGGTACTGGCCCAAGGCCATGGGCCACTGCAACCCATGGGCATCTCCCTGGGTGAAGAGATGCAAGTCAAACCCTAGGTTTTCTACCAGTTCCCTGACTATTACATTGACAGACATAAAGAAAAGAAGTTGCACTAAAGAAGAAGCTAGCTGTTGGATAGAGGTAATGGAACAAAAATGCCCAGCAAACAAAACGAGGGTGAGGGGAATAGAAAGAGGAGAGCCACGTTCTTAGAGAGATAGGAAACTACGAGGACCAGGATCAGAGGGGTAAGTGGCTGGTCTGAATGATCTGAGAAACCTGGCAAGAAGCTGAATGCAAAAAGGAAAGAAGAGTTTGCAGAAATACAGGACCAAAGTCTTGGCTGGTGTACACGGGACTGATCCACGGCTGGTAAAAACCGACACGGCTCCAGGGCAGCCAACAACAGACGCATCTGTTTACATTAGCAGCGGTTCTGCACCATGCGAACGGAGGTGTGGACAAAAGGGAAGGATTCGAGAAGCCATTAATCCCTCCAGCATTGCTAAGACACAGCTTGAGGGGGAAAGAGAATTTAACAAAACTAAACCAAACCAAACCACCATACACCACTGAAGACAAAACCAGCATAGGTGGAAACTAAGGGGGAAAAGTAAGTGAAAAAACTGCATCCTTAAAGCAAGAGAGAAGGAGACACTCCAGCAAGGTCCATAAACAGCTCCCGGTATAACTCCCCACTCTCCACTTCAACATCCAGATATTACATTATTTATGACGTTTTGTTATTATTGGCAGACAGAAGTATGTACATTATATCCAGCATCCTTAACTAGGGCGTGCTTCCTTTGTTTTCAGAATGGAAGCCCACATCCTTTGTTTGAAAATCAATGTTATCAGAAGATAAGCAAGAAGAAAACGGTCGTTGCCTTTTTGACATCTGACAATTAGAATCAGGCTAAACTGGAGAAAACAGGATACGAGCCATATTTTGGAGAGACCAGAAGGAAACATCAGATGATGTTTGTTGAGGCAGGCTCTCCGAGCTGGGACGCCTTTCACCGTGGGTCTGCCACGAAGAATGACCCAAGTCATTCCAAGATTTCTTTTTTAATAGGATTACCAGGAAGGTCACTGAAATTACTCACTTTTATGGCACCTCTTTTTGTTGCAGCACTTAGGTCTATTATGCAAAACCACAATTGATGAAATGTAAATGGGTGCGAGATAATTTACCAAAAGACACAAACCTGCAGCTCATCACGGGTCTCATTATCATTCCTATTCATGGGCAGTCTCATAAGACTAGACATTATTACCGCTGCTTTGCTTACAATCCTGCTGGACACTGTGCCTCCTCCCACATCCCTTCCTCCCTCCCACAGTAGGAGAAAGGGGGAGGGAGGGAGGGAGGAAATGTGATTTACTCCTGATGTAAATATGAAAGTTCATGTGCAGCTAGTGTTCTGCTTTCATGTCAGATATTATTCTGCAGCCATAGTTAAGCTTTGAATAATACAAATTGCCTCCAGGGGAATACTTGAAAGAGCAGGGATTCAGTTTGTGTACACGGCACATGAAAGACACTGAAATGTTCATACCACCAAAATCCCTGCCATCGAGCCAATTTCCTCCCAACTTGTCTTGTTGTGTGCAGAGGGTCTGTGCTTACTGAAGCAAATGAGTTTAGTGCAAGGACAATCATTGTGATGTTTAGCTCAGGGCTATTGCATTAACAAGTCAGAACATTAAAGTCTCTTTTACTAATCATGTCCGGCTCATTCTAATTTTCCCTAAACATCATTATGAAAATAATGTTGATTTTTCCATATTATTAATGGTAAAGAAGTGTAAATCACACTACTAATTACGGCTCTTGTACTGCAGCAGGAGAACGGCTTAATTATACAGGATGTTTTTGCAAGCACCCTATAGCAATAACAACATTCGGCCAAGTTCATTGGCAAATGTACAGAATGGCTTACTACGTTTTTGGAGGAAATTTGGCTAACATTTAATTAGCTACTAAAGAAAGCAATATATAGATCTAATTTTTGCTTTTGGGGAAATTAGGACAAAATGGCACAGATGAGAACGCAAGGAATGAATTCAGTGTCTTTCATTTTACAGTTCGCATTTTGGATACAGAAGAAAAAAAAGAAAGGTAAAAAAAAGAAAAGTTCTTTCTTCTCGCCACTAGTGGGAACTACTGTCTTCTCTTACAGTAGAAAATAACCATGCAAGTGTCATAACTAAGAATAGCTCCTGCATGTGGTCTAAGGGACCTGCTATCTGTACCAAAGGTTAATGAACTTTAAACATTTTTCCTTTTCATCACTCCCCAAGAAAATAAAAATCACTTTCCTTTCCATGCTAAGGCCAAGCCAAACAAGCCACAGTCTGAAATGGCCCATACTTTGGACCATCCCATTTTAAATTTCAGGAAGAGAGCAGACTGAGTAAGATTTTAATTTGAAGGCCAGAAACCATAGCTGAGGGTGTTCACACATCCAGGGCGGCGGGACCTGAATATTTGCGGGTTCCAGCCAAAGGCACCGACGCCTGCTGTGGATTCAAAGAATTCAGCTTGGGTTTTTTGAGAGTAGCTCGCAGCTCTTCTCTTTTTCTCTCCCGAACTCAAACTCAAACATCGCCCCGACAGTATGCTTCCCCAAACAGCCTGCTAGGAAGAGCTCGCTTTTGAGAGCACATGTTTCTGTTGCTAGGCAAACTGTCACCCAGCTGGTTCAGCTCTCCTACAGAACTCCGTGGGCTTTGCAATTTGGCAATTTTTTGTTTGAGCTGGGACTGGTGCTAACTTCACTGCTTTGAATCACCGGGTACAAACCCGGCGTCGCGTGCAGCTGCCAGGAGCAAGGAGGCAACAGTTAGTCAGAGTTTTCAGGAACGCGTATGTTTAGACTCCCTGCTCTGGAGCTGGGCTTGCATCAGTCTTTTCATCCCCCTCGGACACCTCACTCGCCACTCGCATCACGAACAGCTCATTTGGTGTGCAAGGGTAGACCGCTAGACATACGTAGATGCATAAATTGCAATTTGAAATTAGAATTTCAATAGGGGGGGGCCTGTAGTTGCAGAAAAGCATGTGCTTACCTGGAGCCGCACTATGGTTTGGAAGTATACACGTACCCACTAAAAACCTGGCCCACAACTGCACTAAGCACCCGGGCACATCAGCTGTGCTGCTCGTGTGGCTACATTTCTGAAAGTCCAGCCTGTGCTGATCAGTGATTGATCTGGTAATCACACATTTGTTCCTTTGGGTGAGAACCCAGACGTGTGCAATCCCTAATTCCTCAAGACCGTCCAAGACCGTGTAAACCGGGACTTCCCTGAGATCACCTAGATGTATGGGAAAGAATTCCATTCCCCTTAGTCCAAAGTTTTCCCTGGTTTTGTTTGGGTTTTTTCACAACTAGTTGAAACAGTGGACTCATTCATCATTCCAAAACTTTCCCATCTGCTCTTAAGGTGGAACTCAGAAAAATATAGTATAAAGCAGCTCAAATGTTCAAACGTTCTGATTTAGGCCTAGAGCTATGGGAGATCTACGCAGTATTTCAGCAAGGGCGTGAAGGGGAGACTGCAAAGTGCTGCGCAAAGGTCATTTATCTAACATCAGAAACGCAGTATCTGTACCAAAATGGCTCTGGGAAAAGCATATTTTTGTGTTACAAGACATGAGTTGCTAGGTGAGACCATCGAGCATTACATCACGGACCCACACAAATAAAGCTAAGTCATGAATTTGAACAGTTAATAGATGGACTAATTAGAAACTGGTTTTTTTTTGTGGTTCTACCAAATAACCGCGTCAAAGCAAGTTTATTAGGAGTGAGAGACTTAACTCTGCAAAGAAGAGAGGCCTTCACCAATGAAAGTATTAATAAACAGCAGAAAAGCTAAACAGCTGCCAATTAAAAATGCATACAGTCACTGTATTTAGAAAGTTTCTTCCATTTTGAAAGATAAGTAATACTCCCATTACTTTCGACAGGGAATGCAGCTGAATCCAATAATTTCATATCTTAAAACAGAAGAAATGTTTAAATGCAAGCATGGTACTAAAAAATAAAAGACAAAATACAAAGGTAAACAGACAGCAGCAATCAGCCTTGTTTGCAATTTAAACACAGGGGTTAGAAAAAAAATCTTAGTGGCAGTTATCTTTTGGAGCCAAAGACATTTAACCGTGAAAATAATTTCAAATCAGCTGTATGCTAGAAATCTGGAACAGAAGAACTGCTGTTTCTGGCTCTGCTACTGGCTCACTGGGTGGCCTTAGACTCATCATTCAACGTGTGGTGTTGAATTCAGCATATGTGTTTTAAAATGGCAACGATACCCTGGTGGGTTGGTGTCAAGCTGTATAGTATTTGGAAGGGTGGAAAGGTCCACGTAAGAGTTTGCTTCTGCTCTCCACTGTGGGGTTGCAGATCCTCAGTCTGAAAATATTCTCTCTTGGTTTCCTTGTTTCCCCAGTTCTGTGCAATCACACCTGTAGTCTTGGGCTTAATAGGCTGTGTCTGCACGTCACCCTCAAGCCCATGCCAGCTGATGGTCTACACAGTAAACCCGTCATCCCAACATTGGACACTACTGAACCCCAGTTCTGATGTTGACCCCACTGCTGCTTTCCTCCAAGCCTGCTGCTTTCTGCAGTGTTTTTGGAACGTACTCATGAATATAGACCTCAGGCACAGGAAGTGTGCCAATATCCCTGTTCCTGACTCACAGCCCTACCATACCCCAC